CTGTATGCATTGGCCTAAAACCCACCACCTTTTTCCTCCCTAATAGGCCGAAACACCCTTCCCCACAACCTCACCTTTCTCCCTTGTTTTCATTCCATTAAATAAGTGGACATTATTCCCCTAAATAAGTGAATGTAACTAGGAAGCTTCCCTCTCCCCTTGGTGTGCTTATATATTTCGGCCATAGGCCTTGTAAAACATATCTTGTATTCTGAATTTTCCTTAGTAATACACTTGTGTGTTTGCTTTTCAAATTCCTAAATCTGGTACTTTTCCTATCAAGTTCGCAACCTGCAAAATCCGAGTCGGAATAGCCAACAAGATGACATGTCGAACCTTTGGGATACCAAAGACCTACGTTCAACGTGCCCACGAGATATTGCATTATCCTTTTGATCGCAGCCAAGTGTGATTCTTTAGGACATGATTGATACCTAGCGCATATACAAACAGAGTGCATGATATCCGGTCTACTTGCGGTAAGATAGAGTAAAGAGCCGATTGTTATATCTAAGCTCAGGGTTTTATAGTCTCAGACTCTTTATTTGCAGGAGAGGGAGATAATCGATTGTCCTAAGTGGATAATCGATTATTGAAGGCTTCAGGTTCTGGGTAGTTTTCTGGGAATCCTCTGAGAAGGGAGACAATCGATTGATGGGGGAGTGACAATCGATTATTGAGAATTACAGGTTTCTGGGAAAAGCTAATAATCGATTGTCCTAAGTGGATAATCGATTATTGAAGGCTTCAGGTTCTGGGTAGTTTTTTGGGAATCCTCTGAGAAGGGCGATAATCGATTGATGGGGGAGTGACAATCGATTATTGTGAGTTGCAGGTTTTCTGGAAAAGCTGATAATCGATTATCTGAAAGTGATAATCGACTATTGAAGACTGCAGATGTTTTACGAAGGATAGATAATCAACTTCTACTACCGATAATCGATTATTGGACAGCTCGAGACAGAAAAAGAGGTGTTTCTTTGGGAAGGGGAACAAGCCA